AGAATACATTTGTGCATTGCCTTCAAAATTAACAATATTATGCAGAGTGTGTTTTTGCATTGCTTGGCTGCTGCATCTAAAGCAACATTTAGAAGTATTTGCACTGCCATTACAATTGCATAGTTAACGCTATGAGATTACCATTTAAAATTCATATTTGTATGATTCATTTAAATAAATAAATTATACTTTGCATATGAATCTAAAACTGTCAGTAGGTGGCGGAAAGTCACTGTCTTAATGAGTGAGTCATTGAATCATTCATTCAGCTGATTCATTCAGGAACAAAGCAAATGAAACATTGATTAGTTAAAAAATGCTGGGGAATAAGAAACAACTGTGTGTTGCTCTGATGCACAACAGCAAAAAGACAATATTGTGTCTAAAATGAAACAAAATATGAACTTGTTTACTGAACTCTTATAAAAATCACATTTGCAATCGTGTTGATTTTTGATAAAAGCAGCACTTGTTCACATGATATTGGCTAACTTTATCATATAGAAATATAAGACAAAATCTCACACATGGGCATTTTTTCCCGACCTCATATTAAATTTTGGGGTCATTTTAACGGCGTACTAGGCTACATTATGTAGTGTGAACATGTTTTGGTTAGATTTTTGCGAAGTGAGTTATATACTCAATGTCAGCTTTCATATTGTTAAAACTGTTATCGTAATTGATGCATATTGAACACCTCCTAAACAAACTGGCTCATTCTCATTAAAATGTAACGTTTTCACCAGAAATGGGTAATTCTCATTGAAAGCACAGTTTTTGGGTCACGTTGTTGTTGCACATGGTCGCCCCTTCTTTCTGCCCTTCCAAACACCTTGGGCCAGAATCTAATCTAACTCTAAATGGTACCTTGCTCTTTCAGTTCTTTTGGTGTCAACACTTCTTTCTGGTTCTTTGCTAGGATGCACTTGTCACAGTCGCAGCCCAGTCCTTGCCTCTGGTGCAAGTCATGGTTTTGTTTGGCCAAGCGAACCAGCTAAATAAAGGCTTCCCAGCATCACCTGAAGAGAGTCCTGAGCCATTACAGTCCTCCACATCTGTGTCTTAGAGACTACAGTGTCAAGGATAAGATGGGATTTAATGAATGACTTTTATCTGAATGATGACACCAGTAATTGAAGCAGGTTAGACTTGGAGAAAATGGAATGATAGCAGTCAGATACTTGAAGCCCCCCAGGATTGGTGTCAAGATGCTCTGAGGCGATCTCATGTCTGGTTCACTGCATCCTTCTGTGCTTAAGTGTCTTAACAGACAGCTAATTATCACATTGCATTAAAGAGGGTGCCAGCTTGCTCTTTTCCGCCATGTGTTTTTCTTTTTTATATATTTGTTATGACTGCTGAGAGTTTCTGCCAGCTTTTCTTCCACCTCATCCTAACCAGGCACAAAACATCAAGTTTCCAGTGTAAAGTAGTTTTTTGTTTGTTTGTTTGTTTCTTTCTTTCCCCTCCTCTATGCACTAAAAAAAAATGTTTTATACATCTTATTGCAATAGATACATGTTTATTACAACGAAAATGTCATATTGCATCTCATCTGAAACAAATTACCTTTACAGATGGTGTCACAAGCTATTTTATTTTATTTTGTATTTTGTTTTATTTTAATGCTTGATGTTGACAAATTAAACCTAGTTAAGTACATTAACCTAAACTAACATTTCTTACTTAACACTCTGAGGTCAGCAAATGCATCGGGGCATTCAGTGGCATTTTTCCTGATAACACAGCAAATAACTTAAATTATCATTCATTAAAACATTTTTGATTGTACAGATAAAAATAATACATCATTCGAATCTGGAAAGGGTCTACTTGTTCATTTCCATTACTACTAAAAAAAAAAAAATATATACAGTGGGTACGGAAAGTATTCAGAC